AGGGGTTTGTATACATATATCTACTATTTGCTGGATAACATTCCAAGCTGTTACTGTGAAACTGATATGATTGGAAAATTTCTTTTTTTTATTTCTATACATTATTTTGCATAATGTATTTGCTGACATTGCGAATGTCTTGAACGGAATTACTGATCTATGCCACATGTTTTGAGCTTAATTGCTCAAAATTTACTCGCGAAATGGATTTGTGCAGCTTTGAATAAGGAACTGCAAGGCCGTTGCTAAGTAAAGGTACTAGAAGCATTTGTTAAAATGCGAATGTCTTGAACGAATAACAATTTGTTAACTCTATAATTTTACAAGGGTATTTTATGATACATATACCACTTGTATTGAGCTAAATTGTTAGCTTGCTCAAGAGTAACTCGCGGAAGGAAATTGTGCAGCTTGGAGAAGCATGAGGACGCTTATAAAGCCCGAGCCCGCAGGACAAGGGGTTTAATAAGTTCGAGGGCTTCCACAGAATGATGTCAATACACGACATGAAAGAAAAGATTATTAATTAGCGCTATTCGTGCATACGAGTAAACGTATACGACTTATTCATACTTTTTTATCCAATTTTCAAATGAGTTTTCATAATCTTTTTGAGGTATACTGTTCAGACACTGGAAAAAAGCCGAACCGAGATTTTTTCGCGTTTGATATTTTTTTTCCAGAAATGTGTTCTTTTAACCTTGGAAATAGGAGAAAGTCACGAGGGGCAAGATCTGGCGAAAAAGGAGGATGAGTAAGTTGCGCAACCTTTACCTGTCTCAGATATTCTCGTACAATGACCGATTTGTGTGACGAAGCATTGTCATCACCGTGAGAGAGTTCATTGTTCCCATAAACACGACATATTTCATTATATATGTCTTTCGTCTGTATACCAAGTATATACAGTTCTTGATATAGGACCTATTTGGTCAGTGAAAGGAGACCTTTCCCCAACCATTTTAGCTTTAGAATACACGAGTAGAGCGTTAATCGAGCTATTGTCAAAGCTAGACTGAACTGATTTACGCATGTATCAATTGAGAGCTTACTTCTATGCGATACATGTACATAGTTCGTGCAAAACGTCGTTAAACGCGAGATATTGGCCTAATTCCATTCATATTTGAACACCCCTCGAACAACTACCATCACCACTACCGATACCACTACCAACGACATCACCACGACTACAAAAACAACCACAACTATCAGTTACTGCCTCTGTTGCTGCTTCTACCACTGCCACTATCACCACTGCCGATACCACCATACCATCACTACAACTGCCACTACCACTACTACTACTACAACTACTACCACCACCACCGCTACCACTGCCACTTCCGACACACCCGCTATTACTTTCACCACTACTACTGCTACCACCATCACCACCACCTCTACTTCTGTCACTACCACCGTTACAACCACCACTTCTACTGTTACTACCACAGTTGGTACTGCCACTACCACCACTCCTACTGCCACTACCATCATACCATCATTACAGCTGCCACTGCAACCGCTACCACTACCACTGCTACTACCACCTCTACCACCACCACCACCCCCACTACTACTACTACAACTACTACTTCTACTACTTCTACCACTTTTAGTATCGCTACTAGACAAACAACTGAAGCAACTGCATGCATAAATAAAAAGTCTACATAAATCGGAAAACTGTGTTTATGACAATGATGATGCCGATAATGATCACAACATCCACTACTTCCAAAATCCCCACTATTTATACTACAATGTACCATCAAAACGAGCTCTACCTATCAATATGCAGTTTTTTCACGTATATGCATCCAATCTATATAAAGTTATTAAGATCTTCATTGCTGATTTTAATCAGATTATGTAGAGCTATATGTCGGGGCAAGCGTTTAACCGGTATGATAGTCCCGGGCAAGTTGCATGCGTTATAACAAAGCTGTTAAATACGATCATTATGATATCTTAGATAAGAGAATTAATTAAGACAAACACCAGTGGCAAGAACAAGTTACATGTATTTTAATGTAAAATACACGTAAAGATGGTATCTGAATGACTTTTGATGTTTGCATATATTTTACTCTTAGTTTTTAACCAAGGCAAAAATCTGAATACTTATTTATATTTGTAATAAAAGCCATTCGAACTGCCGAACTTATGTCCTTTGTACCCATACAATTAGATTTTCAATTCCTATTTTACGTCAAATCCTTTATACCTACTGTCAATATTTTTGTATACCTTTAATGAGAAACGCTAAGTTTACCAAAAAGTGTTTTGTGTCACTATTCACAAAAATAGAGGACAATGCAAACATTTCGTGGGTGTTGGTATCTCGCCAAATTTTGTGACGTTAATGTACCCTGGATAGAAAAAAGATATCATTTAAAAATAAATATCCGCCCGGGTTTTTGATTACATTCATTTCAATGCAATAATCATATAATGACGTGATATAGAAATAGAATATGAATACATTTCGAATGTGGATAGACATAATAAGCTGACGAATGATCTAGTTTCCACCCTGCATAATGTAAAAATACAAAGACAAACTATTTAGCAATTCAGCCCTCAGAAAATATGACAATTTATTTGTAAATGACACAAATGGATTCGAGATTAGATGGAGACTCTTAGATTGGTACCTAAAATGAAAACAAGACAACTTCAAATTAATCGGGCGTTAAATAAAACAACAACACCAGCAAGGTCCGAAATAATGAAAAACAAAACGGTTAATACATGTACTACATATTTGCCTGATGCATTAAACGAACAGACCAGCAGGTAAAGACCGTAGTTTCTGTTATAATGAAACACTACTGTGAGCTGGTAGGGTACTTCCAGGACAAACAAAACAAAACCGAGCTTGTGAGACTTTTTTAATGGCCAGTAGTTAACCTGCATACATATACAATTATTAGCATTTTTAAAAATTCTCGGAATTTCTGTTAGCCGGATTTTTAAAAAAATCGTGGAAAAGACTCTTTCCTGAACAATGGAATTAATGTTTCTTCTTTTACAATGTTGTTCACCCCGCAGGAGCCTGTAAACTGGTTTCGAGCTTCGCACATGAAGATAGTATTTAAATTCTATATATCGGTAACCCGTCAAAAGCATGGCGACTGACACACCCGTATGCGCCACTCTTTTTCAAGTCTTTTAATCGTTATAATATCATGTGGTATAAAATTATATAGTCTGATTGGTTTAAAGCAGGCTGTGTACCAATAGAAATGGTCAAATCTTGTTGCCATCCAGTCACGCGAAAAATTTCTGGTAGCAATACATATAATCTCTTAGATCAGAAAAGTTTTCCTTTAATTATTTAAAAATTTCTTTTATTCGACTGCATTCCAGTTATTAAATTTGCGGCGCTGTAACTTGGTAGATCGTTTATTAAATAGTGAAATAAATGTGATTGTTTGCAATACATTTCAAGCTTTTTACTGAGATAAATTAACGGCATGATTACAGGGTTTTTCCAACGCTTTAATATCGACGGCAACATGTTTTACAATTTGCACGAAAAATCGGACAGATTGAACGATATACCATTTTTGCAGCAATACACATAGATTTATTTATGATTAAAGTTCATTTAAGACTCCATCACATACATTACATACATTACATACATTCCACATATAACATACATGTAAGATACTAGATAAAAACATGTATACAGCCATTCAATGACTAAATAAAAACTTTTGTCTTTATTATAAAACAATCACAACCATCGCCAATCCGTCTTTCGAACACTATTCATAAAACATCCAAGCAACAGATGTTTCATATACAATTCTATTTTTTTTACTTAAGTAAGGTAATGAAGAAGACTTTACTTTTAATAAATTAGAGAAGTGGGATCTTTTTATTTAACATACATTTCTTGACATATATTTTTATTAGTCTTAAGCACATTAACAGCTCATCGACATTTGCATATAATATGAAACGTACTTGTAGCATGTAACATTATTCACCTACTTACGTAAAAACTGTTTGAATAAATTTGTTCCTTGGCAGCAGGGATAATAAGTAACCAACCATCCAAAACACTAATACATCTTATACACTTTTCAACATTAAAATAATGTAGGTGAGGTTAAGATAATCACACGGCAACAAACATTCATATGTTAAAAACATACATACCATATAAAGAGGGTACCTGGGAAAATGAAAATGTAATTTCATACCCATGGTAGTGAACAATATTCTAAAATGTTCACTTAGATAAAGAAAAGTTCACTTTAAATTATTTTTATATGTTTTAGAACAAGAAAAATGTCTTATACATTTGTTTTCAAATAAATGACAAATGTTACATAATTATTTACTACAAGAGATAACTTGGAGAACATTCTTATATCTCAATGGCATAATTCAGTTGATACGCCTTATCTATATTGATCATAGACTTGTTTAGACCTTTTAACATTACAATATTTCCTTAGCAACGGAAGTATCATTTCGCGCATGCGCACTCTACTTAAGCGTAAAGGGAGTACAGAAAGCTAGAATTTATTTTGATAAACAAAAACCGATGCAAAGGTGAGTATAAGAAATAAATTTGAACTTGTCTGTATTAATGCATTGAGGGTCTGTGAAATTTGAAGTTAATCAGTTATTGTATTTATTCTATATGACATACCATTTTGAAGTCGTAAAATACCTTAATATACCATTAAAATACCATTTCATGATACCAAAAATACCATTTCATGATTAGCATCATAATGTTTGCCAGAGGAAAAACACAAACAATTGTATGACGAAGCTAAAACATATTTATATATATATATCATATCCCTAATTTATCTTTATCTGTTCAAAATACAGTCACCTCATTTATCACATTTATTACACATTTAATTACTTTGTTTTTGTCCTAGAATTTTAATTTAGTGTGTTTATGATTCCTACTCTGGGTTCATTTGCCCCGGTATCATATCATATCATATCATACCGTATCATATCACATCTTTTGTATCGTATCTTTCCATATTGTATCATATCGTATAGTATCATATGCATCATATCATATCAGTCCATATCTTATTGTACTGTATTGTACCGCATGATAAAATACACATCATACCATTGAAAATAGATCATATATATGTAATGAATGTCACATCAATACCATTTAAAGATGATCTCAAATATAATATCATATCATGTTCCTGTAAGTAATAATCACTCTTTCTATAATAAAGTCATAGTATGATCTACTTTACTGTTTTTTTTCCCTGTTGATACGAGTACTAATTTATCTGTCTTTTCAGAAGAAAAAACGTATGCTAATTTTAATAGATATTTTATCAAAATCTTAGCTAGACATCATATGTCAAATTTAGAAAATTGCTCTTTTTAGAAAGTGACATTCACAAAATGTGTTACCAGCGCAAAAATGTGGATTGTACAATGTGCGATTACGTTGTCAATAATTATTTGACGATATTATCTGTACTTATTTAAAGTCCAAAAGAAATGAATATTTTCTGTGTTTCTATAACTTATTATCGCTGATTGTTATACGTAAATGCAAATGAAAATAATAAACAAGTAGTTTGAAATAAGTAGTCCGTTGTCATTCATCGTGCGAATGCGTCCTTTCACTGTTTGACCTTACTTTCGATTAAAATTTAAATAAATATTACAAAGTTCAATGACTTTTTACATTAACTTTAACGAAGTGTTTTGTAATTTGAATGTGTAACACAATTTCAATCTTTGACAGGTCGTAATTACATTTGATTATAATGAAATTTATGCCCACAGGGTGACCTCGATTGTAATGATTGTCTACTTATGCTGACTTCATTTCACAAAATAATACTTTTTTAACCTTTGTTTAAATCTGTTACAGTGCTGGTATATTCTAAAAGTAATGTAAATAAATAAGACTTACTCATATCATACTGAAATCTTATAAAACAATAATTTGCTATATCTTATAAATAAATGAAATAAAAAGATACAAAAAAAAGAAAGATAAAAAATAATTAAAAAAATGCTAAGAATAAAATACGTATTCTTGTTGGGCTTTTATGTTACTTATACTCGTACATGTTCATATGAAAAGTATGGCGGTGATCTTTGTTTTTTGGCCATATTCGAATGTGTTTCTTTTGTGCTAAATCTGCCGTTTGCTGCTAATTTAAAATGTATTCCTCCCGTTTTTTCAAGTAATAATTGCAGAAAATATAAAGATATGAATTGTTTGGAATAAGTTAACAAACAACTCTCTTTGAAACACAGATATGAAAATTGAATGTAAGGAAGATGTCTTATTGTTTTTTTTTAATTCACAGTAATTTTCTTTAGATAACAAATTCAAATTCATCATCATCATCATCATCATCTTCATCATCATCAACAGCAGTAACAGCAGCAGCAGAAGCAGCAGCAGCAGCAGCAGCAGCAACAACAACAACAACAATAACAATAACAACATTGTTTGTTT